ACTCTTTCACAAGGAGCAAAATTATAATATTGCTGATTTTATGGTTTAGATTTGTTTAAATATTATGGCGTGGGATTAATTCAAATTCAAAAATACCTTTATTTCATAGGTATGATTCTTTTCGTCGAACGTGATATTGCCACCACATTAGAGCGATGCTACACCGGCTTTGCTCCCAGTGCGTTGCGTCGTCACATTGCTATCAAAGTCAAATATGCCTTTATTCCATGAAAACGATATTTTTTAAACTACTGCTCGTTCACTGTGCCGACTTCCCCGAGAAGAACGAGCAAGAAAGTCTAGGGATTGCTCTTTTCAAATTAATTAAGCGTGCAAACGTTCCGAAATATCGGGAAAATAAAAAGAAGTCATACCGTGGTAAGAAACCTGATACTAGTGATAATCATTAAATTCCTACTTTTTGTTCAAAAATAATAGAGGAAGAATAATTTCACATTTTCAAGTAAGGACTGTTTTGTTAAATCAAAATGTTTGTCTCATTTAAGTAGACATCTTTCGTTTGTTTTTCCACGATATTTTAAAGACGGTTATATTGACGTGTAGAGATTAATTTTTACGTCAAGCAACATTATAATCTTGGATTTCTTAATTTTGAGTTACAAGACTATTGTAATAGCAATGCTATATGTGAAATTTTAAAACTCTCCTATTTAAGCATAAAAAGTTATCGACTAATTTTGTTCGTAGAGTCTTTAAACCTCTCTACTTAAAAGTTATAAAGTTATAATGTCGGGAAAATAAAAAGAAGTCATACCGTGGTAATAAACCTGATACTAGTGATAATCATTTAGTGAATAACCACGAAAGTCTTAAAATCTATAAAGTAGGAATTTATTTAGATATCTATAATAAACTTTTTAATCTACACATACATTTTAATAATATTTCACGGAAAGTGAGTAATTACTTTCTCAACAATTCTGACAAAACACACTTTTTGACTGAATACACTATTGCATTTACAGTACGATATGCGAAATTTGTTTCATGTAATTTTTAAGTTTATTGTACGTCACAATGTTGCATTATCATGATATTAAATTATTTTTTTGTGAAATTACTCCAATAGTTTGTTATAAATATTAGTAGTAGTAGACCCCCTGATACGAATCGGCTCTCGGGCAATCCGTGCCAGATGCTCTGCCAAATAAGCCACGGAACGCACCAGCAAATCTTACGATTTTTTCTATGTGCTTCTTGCAGATCTTCGTTTTTGGTTTTTTGCGACTTTTTTGCCGCAGCGCAATCAAAGAAAAAATAATTTCCTGAGAAATTTATTGTTTCATGTAGTTTATTATTTTTGAGATGTTCATGTGATAGAATCACTTTTTACATATCTCACTGCTATTACAATAGCGTTGTAACTCAATATATGTGAAATTCAAGATTAGACTATTGCTGAACGTAAAAGTTGACTCTCTACACGTCAACAAAACCGTCGTTAAAATATTTTAAAAAACAATTAAAATAAATCTACTTAACCCAAAATCTATTTGCGAACTAATTCTGGATAAAACAGTCTTAATAAATAAGTTTCTAAAAAATATTAATTTGCTTTTTTCCTTTTATTTGGCAAGTAAGGAATTGTTTAGATGTCTGTAATAAATAAACTTTAACCTATACATAAATTTTAATAATATTTCGCTGGAAGTGAGTAATTCGTTTTTCATCGATTCTCAATAAATACACTTTTTGAGTTAATACACTATTGTATTAACAGTGCGAACGATCACGTGTGGTTTTATTATACCGAGGGTACAAAATGTGGACACGGCGACGACAGAGAGGCAATAAAATTATTTACATCTTTAAAGTTGCCCATAAATTATGAACACAAACGCCGAGATTAGAAAATTTGTGAACAGTTTTATTATTCATATTCCAGTAATAATTTTAAATGAAATAATGAATTTCTTGCTTCCGCAATAACTACAACACACATTTTCGTAGTCTAACTTTCGACAATTGTTATTGCATACAGGTATATTGCAGGGAAAGCGTATCAGTACTTCTATTTCTAGATATATCGATGTCTTTCACGTATCAATGCCTAACTCAAAAGCGCCTAATTCAACATAATCTGCGGCGCATAGTTCACTAATCGTGCTTAGATCATCCCAATGTCGTCATATGATCATACTAACCAATGAAAATATCGGAATTCTATTCATAATAAAATTTAGCATTTTCTGTATAAATCTCATTCATAAGTCAAAAAAGGATCAATTTTGGATTGGGTCAGACGCAAAAGTTTACGCGCGGCCCAGTTACCACGCTTTCACGTACGCATGGCGAATCTAAATCCTTATTACAAGGCAACAACGTTTAAATTCTTCTGAATAATAACAGCCGCGCGGTCACCGCATAGGCCAAAAACCGCCCGAGCTGCTCATTTAAATTAAAACGTAAAGGTAAATAAATAGAGCGTACTTTGCCGTAACACTTAGATGCACGCGGTCTCCGCGCGGCGTGAGCGCAATGAAATTCGTGTCGAATATGCGCTCTTAGGGTCGTATTTCCAGTGCTTGAAATCATACTCAAGTCTGCTCAAATCCTGACTTGAGCATTGAGTAGAGTTCTGGAATACGACTCTTAGTCTTTTCTCTATTATTGTTTAATTATATCTATAACTTTTGATTTCGATGACGATCTACAAAGATTAAGTTATGTTATAATTTTGTATCGCAGATATCTATAACTTGTACGGGTATTTCTCATTTTCTAACTTGTAGTAAGTAACACATGAGACTTATCAACTATGTCTCGGGATGACGGGCGCAGTGGCAGTGCCCTTCAGATCTTTGTATTTAAAGCTCTGTGTGGCACTGCAAATGTTATGGACAGGCGTGTCCCTTGCCATCAGGCGCACGACTTTTGTAATTTCATGTCATTTGGTAACAAAAAAACAGAGTGGAAATTCCTGCCTGCAGACTTGTTCCCTGAATTAATTAGGTGTGCGTGCTTATGTCGACCTCATTGTCACTTTCCATCAGGTGAGATGGAGGTCAAATTTACACCTATTAAAAAAAACATAAATATACAGGATATGATTACATCGTATTCAAGTCATATAAAACCTTAGGTTTCATCATAACAGCTACTAAAAACTTTAAAAGACCCACCACTTTTATCAACCTCTTCAACAGTCTCATACGGCTGTGTTATATGGTCCCCTTATTAAGAAATGTACTCCAACCGCATAGCACAAGTACAGAACAAGGCTCTTAAAATTGTCGCATTCCGATCGGGTCTGGGTCGCATTCTTGCGACTTACCAAGAGAGGTTGGCCAAATTCAAAATTTGTTCACTACGGACCCGATGTAAAATATAGGATATTGTAGTCTTACATGGGCTCATAGTAGCCCTGTTTCTCCTGGTCTGCTATTTCACAAATCTTCGTCGTCCTAAAACCTTTGTTTTAAATGTTTATCGAAATAATACATCCTTTTATAACCCCGTGATTGGAAAGTGCCGAACCTACAATGATTTAGGTACTAAATGGGTACTAATATCAGAATCTGGGGGTCACATTGATGTTTTCGACAATAATCTTTGACGAATTCGTATCAATACCCTTGTTTTTTGTAATCCTTATGCAAATATATTAACACTTCGCATATTAACGCTGTATGTACAAGTATTAGGTCTACATTCTAGATTAAGACTATAAATTGTATCTCAACATGTTCCACTGAATTTACATTCTGTTTGGTACATCCAATAAAGAAAAAAAATTATGTAAACCACTCTGCAGAAACAATTCGCTGCTTCAAGCAAAAACATTTGAGACAGGTAATGAAAAGAAGGTAGAGGAAATGGGATATCGTAAATTTAAGCAGCCATTAAAATGGCCCATATTCACGCTCATTCTCTCACATAAATATACAACTCACGTTGTATATTTATGTTAAGGTACTTTTAAATAAAGGTTACATCGGTGTTTCCGGGACGGAATAGGCGTAAATCAAAAATGAGTTTTTACCCAGTTGGGTTACATTTTCACTCTTCCGATGTAGGTATCTGTTAAGGGTTTGGCATTCGCTGCAAAATGGCATTTTACGTAGGTACGAGTGGTTACAGACCGTGACTGTACTAGCAGCAAACAAAAAGAACAAACAATAAAACAAAACAAACAAAAAGAAGATCCACCTAAAACAATTTCTTTTTTAAATATTTATTACTTATCGAGTTCTTAGGTTTTCGCGATTGTTATACATAGGAAATGAAACTATTTTTCCGGATTTAAATCGCATATATTTGTTTTTTCAAACAAACCGACGTTTCGGGCCCTTTACAGGTCCTATGGCCACGATTGACATGGTCAATGACAAAATATACGCGAATTAAATCCGGAAAAATAGTTTCATTTCCTAATGATTACTTTTTCTGTAGTAGTTTGTTCAGCCTCTAAAAAAATAAAAAAAATGAAATACTACTGTGCATAGGAAAGGTGTAACCCAAATAGACTGGTGTACAATAATAAACCCAGATTGTCTCATTACAAAAATCAATGCGATGGTATGTGTGTCCGAATTTATAATGCTCTACCAATTACTACCAAAACACATTACAATTTTAGGAAATAATTTATTCCGAAGTAGACTAGAGCGCTTAGGTTAGTGTAAGGCTAAGTAAGAGAAAAAAATATTACAAAGTAACTGATTTTTAGACAAATGTTGACATGAAACAACAACAACATGTGAACATGTATTATAATGTAATAATGATGTATAATATATTTTAATTGTTTGACATTGATAGTTATAATTTTGTTGTTATTAATTGACTGATTATTTCTTGTGCATGTCCAATGACGGTGTAATAATTATTATATAGATTATATAGATTGCCGGCGACTCCACCATTTGTAGCCTAGGGACGTAGCTCAGGTCGCGTAGCGAGAGGTACTTTATAAATACAAACTGGGATTATCTTCATAACTAGATATTTATTATGTTTTTGACATATTGACTTATGGAGGCTACTTCTAGATCTGCCAAGATGTTCTTTTCTCTATCCTATTTTTTAAACACATTCTAAATACAAATCTATATTCACTCAGCCTGTACTTCTACTCATAGAGTAGAGCCTAGACTACAGTACCTACCCAAAAAAGCACACTATTATACGGACCTGCAAAATAATGTCCAAATCGATATTGTCGCAGATTTCGTACTCCCCAGTAAGATTGGCTTCTCTGACGAACGTCTCCGCCGAGTGGAAGAAACCCTCCTGCTTCAAAAATGCCAGCACGAGATAATTGAGGATGCGCTTACGGGTACGGAAGAGGGTTTCCTTCTGGAAAATTACAGGAAAAATTTAATGTTACTGTTGTTTCTTAGCACGATTTAGTAGATGTAGAACTCCTTGTTAAAAAGTTCGTCCAGGGAGGTACTGCCACCTAACCTATTTCTGCCGTCAAGCAGTAATGTTAACATTACTGCGTTCCGGTTTAGAAGGGGAAGGGTGCTGGTGAAATTACAGGCACATGGGACTTGTCAACTTATGTCTCAAGGTGACGGACGCGGTGCCTCTCAGATCTTTGCGATTTAAAGCTCTGAGTGGCACTGCAACTATTATGGACCGGCGTGCAGCTTACCATCAGGCGCACGACTTGGTTTTCCCGTAACTTGATATTATTAAAAAAAACACAAGTTTATTTAATGTACCCCATCGCTCAATTAATTATGGACAAAACGCAGTGCCCACAAGGTTATGCCGTACTTAGAACAATATCTTTCGTGATATAGAATTATTCATTGCGTCAAGAAGACCTACAAAAGGAGTTGGTTTTGAAAAATTGCGGTATGGAATGAATCGCAGAGAATCAATATACCATATTTTGTCTATCTAATGTCGGCGGCAATTTTTGTCAAAGTCAAAGTCAAAGATTATTTATTCCATAGGTAAAATAAATTTACACTTGAAAACGTCACATTTAAGCTACTGCTCGTTCACTACGCTGACCTCCCTGAGAAGAACGAGCAAGAAACTCTAGGGATTGCTCTTTTCAAATAAACTTAAATGCTATGGAATACACTTTGAATCAAATTTGTGTGGATTCTGGAGCCATGTCGTCTTTCCATACATCTTTATCTAACACGTAGTCTTCAATTTTGTAATATGATTTTTCGATCAAAATATTTTTAATGTAGTTTTTAAACTTAGGAAATGATAAACTTAATATATGCTCCGGAATCTTATTGTAAAAACGTATACAGTTCCCCATAAAAGAGTTGTTTACCTTGGTTAAACGAAATCGTGGTACCATGAGTTTGGACTTAGCTCTAAGGTTAATGTTATGGATATCTTCTTTCTTATTGAAATTATGTATATTTTTACGGGCATATAAAATATTTGAGTAAATGTACTGCGATGCGATTGTTATTTAAGTATTCGAGTATATTATCGCGAAATATGTAATAACATTTTAGGATGCTACACTTGAATGTGGTAATATTCTAGAATATTCAAATAATAAAAAATTGTCACCGAAGTTAGGTACAGAATAACTTTCTGTACGTGACAATTGTAAGAGCTTAGATAGTGGTTACATCTTCTTTGGTGAAAATTACCCAATATTCTGGGATTTTCTATTCCAATTATTCGAAATAGAATCGGATCCATCGGATGGTGCATTGTATTGCGCAGAAACTGCTTTTGAGGCGAGCTCGTGATATAAAAAAGTAAAGTAATTGTTACTTACAGCCTCCATTTTGCGCATCTGACTCATTGGTCTCGTTATCCCGGCCATTTGCAAGCTAATTGTTATTTACAAAACAGGAATGATTTACAAAGTGAGTTGACTGGATTTGACAAAGTCAGTCGTGTGTGGCGTTGTTACTAGGGGGGTTGTTTGGCGTTGCTAAACAATACAGAAAAAAGGTGCGGCCATACTTCGGCTGGCGCACGCTCATGTCATTGAACTTAGTGGAATACATGTGTCAAACATATTTTGAACGTGGGGAAATACATTTTTTTTCCGTTCTCCAAGGGAAATACGATTGCAAGAAACTTTTTTGCGCACACACTCATAGCCCCGCACTAGGGAAACCCTGTATCGCGTGTGCCATGGACACCAAAATGCACGAGGGAAATAAATGTGGGCCATACATTGACTTACAATTATATAGACGTCGGGTCCGCGCTAAAAAGTGTCCGAACTTATAGGGCGTTAAAATCGTATACAGAGCGTCATTCACGCTTTAGTCTTCGTTTGTTCGGCTGACAGCGAAGCAAGCAAAATTAGACAGTACTGCGATGACATTACAATTTAAATTCAACGTTTTAGCTTTTTCATATTCCTTTACATGTCACTACGTTTAAATAGGTTGACTTGGGACATTTTTTTCGTGGTTTTTGTATTAGACCCGTCGTCCATTTATTTGTAAGCCAATGAGGCCATACAAATATTTCTCGCGGCCCGGGAATCGAACCCGGGATCTCTGCGTGACAGTCCAGCATGGCAACTGTTCGACCACTGAGGCGGTTATATGTATTTATTAACCGTTAGAAATTTACTTCTTTTCATTTACTGTCTTGACGGTACTTACTTTCTTCACTATAGTAAGTTACGTCTATTGGTGCATATAAGAGACGATGTACGACGTTACAACGAAAAACATGGCAGATAGAATCTAATATTGTAAGTTTTTAAGATGTCGAACAAAATAAATACTTCGCGATACTCGATCAATCACTGTACCATACGTCAGTCGTTCTCGTCTATCCATCCATCCTGGAAAGTCTCTGTGCACTCACAAGCACGTTTTCGAACAGATGGTTTTATCTATTTACATCGTCAAGAAAACGTAAGTGTACGAAAATAAACATTAGGTTATTCAGATGAGATGGAGGTCAAATGCTCACTTGTTTTTCTATAAAAAAAATGTACAGTCAAGTTGGGTAACTTCATAGTAAGTACATTGTGTATTAAAAAAGTAAATAATAAACAAATTAATTACGAACGAGATTCTATTAGAAGCCCGAAGTCGATGACTGAGGGTTTTGGGAATCGAAGTTCGTACTTCCCGTACTGCGTCCGTGAAAGATACAATGTTTTTCATCCCATTTCCATCAAATAAAATATCATTACAGTCAAGGTCGGTAATGAGAAGAGAAAAGGTTCGAATGGTTTTATACTGCACGCAATCATATTATTTACGTGCAAGTGTGATGTAAATAGGTACTTTTATGATGTTAAAATAAAAATGTATTGGTCCAAGTAGATCTTATTGTTTATTTATTGTTTTAAGAAGATTTCTCAGATCCTGAGACCCGTGAAATGTAACATCCCCTTACAGGATGCAGGAGTTTACGATCTTAACTGTGAGTGCAGTCTCTCTTATATTGGACAAACAAAGCGAAGTATTTGTACCCGCGTCAAAGAACATGTAGCTGATGTCAAACACCGTCGCGTAAACAAGTCTGCAGTCTGCGAGCATGTCATGGATAAACCTACACATTCAATGAAGTTTGACAAACCCCAGGACCTTGCAAAAGAAGTCCGTTATCTACCCAGGATGTTGCGAGAGGCCATTGAAATTAAAATAAAGGGAAGACGGTTTCTCCGTACGGTATTTAATTAATAACTTTTGTAACTATAGTGAAAATTTAAGGTGGTTTGCATTAATATTAGACATAACTGGCTGAAGACTGTACCGCCTCAGTCAACCGTGACCATGGGACCTGTAAAGGGCCCGAAACGTCGGTTTGTTGGAAAAAACAAATATACGCGATTTAAATCCGGAAAAATAGTTTCATTTCCTAGATCTTATTGATTAATAACTTTAATTTCATTCCCAAATCGAGAATAATTTAACTAAAGTAATGAATTCGAAAAAAGCTGTTTGAGGAAATGTACTTTAAAAAATTTGTCAAAAGCTACCCTGACTTTTAGGTAGTTATCTTGGAACCGAGTTATTTTAAACAGCGAAAATACTTCTTCATTAGTAATTTAACTGACTTGGGCAACCTCGTATTTTGAATGAAAAAAAAATGGATCGTGAAGAATATTTTCATAAAAAACAATTGGATGCTGATAAACAATAACATATCTACCATAGTTTTGAGAAAATGGAACCTGAAATTTTTTTCCTTGGTTTTTGGTTTTTGATAGTTTGTTTCTAAAATTTACCTACAAAGTGTACGCTTTTGCTGTTGTGCTTATTGTTGTTGGGGAATTATAGTAATATATCACAACAATTCACCATTCCTAAGGTAACAACAGCATAAGTTTTCATTTTACAAGTTAATTTTAAAGAAATTAGAAAAAACTACGAAAAAATGTTTAGGTGCCTTATTTTTGCCTTATTATGTACTTTATTACAACAGCATCTAGTTCACAATTCATTTGTGGATATCATTTACCAATTAGCAGCTACCAAATCTAAGTAATCTGGCGAAACTGACCGAAAAAAAATATACCTTCATTTATAACACTGTTATCAGAATCAGACTCGCAACATAGTGCCCTATTGCGCTCGTAATGAAGCTGAGGCACTGGCTTGGTGCCAAGTTATGCTACAAATACCTATGCACTAGACTTCCCTTATTCTCTAGGATCATTACCGTGGATAATAACCCTAGTTGGATTCGTATTCTTATCCGAGTATTATTATTTTTAATTATTTAGTTTATGCTCTAGGTTGTGCTTGTGTCACTGCAAAATGGCGATACTTAACGCGCTTAAAGGAATTTGAATGATTCACTTAACCAGGCTGTATATTTGAAAGTGAGACATATTCATACATGTCATAGTAAATCATGTTACAACTTAACATAGACTTAAATAAAATTAGGATATGGGATAGAACCATTGACTTATAAATAAATGGACGACGGGTCTAATACAAAAACCACGAAAAAAATGTCCCAAGTCAACCTATTTAAACGTAGTGACATGTAAATGGGGATGTAAGGGGGCACACACCATCACAGCTCTTATTGTCAACCTCACCTGCAAGCGGTACATCCTGCAGTAACCGACGAGGCTCTGGCGACCGGTAGTAGGCGGTATAGCCCTTCCCCACATTGGCGCTGTCAAATCTGCTGGCTACCGACGGGCAGCAGCGTCGGTAGTACAAAGGCAGCGCCCTGCGATCTCCAACCCGCATGCCCAGCGTGGAGATTATGGGCAATAACCCCCTTCATGGACGGCACAACCAATCGAAGGCCCCCAGTTCCCGGTCGCCCCGCTATTCCTGGTCACGGTAGCGGCCATGGTACCGGCGGGGTAGGGGGTGCTAAGAATCTCCGGGCTACCGCAGGCTACCAAAAACAACTGACCCTGGCTACGTTTAACAGACGAACTCTTAGGCTTGACGAACACCTTGCACAGTTGGAAGTGGAACCAGTTCCACATTCCACAGGAGAACATTAGATGGCATGTTCTGGGGCTGTGTGAAGTCCGAAGAGAGGGAGAGGACACCATAACCCTAGACTCGGGCCATCTACTGTACTTCCGCGAGGGTGATCAAACATCCCAAGGTGGTATAGGATTCCTCGTCAATAGAGTCCTCTCTAACAACGTTGAAGAGATCTCCAGTGTGTCGAACAGAGTAGCGTACATGATCCTTCGGCTATCAGAAAGGTATAGCCTGAAGATCATTCAGGCCTACGCACCGACTTCGACACATTCGGATGACGATGTAGAAGATATGTACGAGGACATATCGAAAGCCTTACACAACACCACCAAGGCTCACTTCAACGTTGTTATGGGGGACTTTAACGCTAAAGTGGGATTCCCAAATCTTGACGAGTCTCGAGTCGGCCCGCATGGTTATGGAGTAAGGAATCACAGGGGGCAAACGCTAGTCAACTTCCTCGAGCAAGAGGGGCTCTTCTTGATGAATTCGTTCTTCAAGAAGAATCCTCAAAGGAAGTGGACTTGGCGAAGCCCCGACGCTGTGACTAAAAATGAGATCGATTTCATCCTGACGGACAAGAGACACATATTCAGAGATGTCTCAGTGATCAACAGGTTTAGCACCGGATCTGATCACCGACTTGTACGAGGCTCTCTGAATATCGATGTCAAACTTGAAAGAAGCCGCTTGATGAAGTCCACGCTCCGTCCTAATCCACTCCAGATCATGGCGGGCTCCGAGAAGTTCCATGAACTTCTCGAAGCGAGATTCGTCGAGCTGGAACCCACCGAGGACGTTGACGAGGCCCTACAAAGCGTGGTTGGGACGCTGAGAAGCGAGGGCATCAAATTCTGTCAATTGCAGCGTACGGGAAAGAAGTCTAAACTCTCGGATGAGACTCTGCGACTTATGACGAAAAGACGCGATGACATCCAGGCCACTTCGTCAGAGAGGTCATACCTAAACAAGCAGATTGCGAAGATGATACGGCGTGACCTTCGGAGCTCCAATACACGCCTCATTGAGGAGGCGATAGAGCGAAACCGAGGGTCCAAAGTATTCACTCAGCAGCTTGGAAGGAGCCACCTGACGAAGCTTACAACGCACGATGGCCTAACCGTTACGTCAAAGCCGCAGATACTCGCCGAGATAGAGGGCTTCTATGGCCGTTTGTACGCTGTAAATGCTCCTCGGGTCCAGCGTGACAATCATGATTTGAGAGCCACCTTGACGCGCCACTATACCGACGACCTGCCAGAAATCAGTTAAGACGAGATCGTGTTGGCTCTAAAACAGCTTAAAAATGGAAAAGCCCCCGGTGAAGACGTAGTTACCTCGGAGCTTTTGAAGTCTGGAGGAGTTCCTATTATCCAGGAACTTCAGAAGCTCTTTAATTTGGTCATTCACTGCGGGAGAACTCCACGGGCGTGGAACAGGAGTATTGTAGTTCTCTTCTTTAAAAAGGGAGATAAAACTGTACTGAAAAACTACCGACCCATCTCACTCCTGAGTCACGTCTACAAGCTGTTTTCTAGAGTCATCACGAATCGCCTCG